ATCTATTTTTATATATAGTAGTTAATATTTGTAACTCTTGAATTCCCAAATATAATACCATTCTAGAAGTTTTAATGTGAAAGAGATTCTGGGGAATTTTCATTTGAGCTGCTTTCCACAGCTGTGTGGCCTGTCTTAAATTATTTTCCCAGAATATAGGAAGAAGCTATATAGAAAGAAATGACATTTCAGAATTTTGTGGAAGGGAAATTTGTAGTTCAGTAAGAATTACTCTATCACAAATGTAGGCCTGCTTTTAATGGTGATCTTTTGAATTTGCAGATTCTCTTTAAAGCTTATAATTTTTGGAACACTTTTTAATCTGTGGCTTTTCTCTTCCTTTTCTACTGGTTTCCCCCAATGACATCTACTATAACAATGGTAGTACTATAAACAATGTATGCATGGAAAATTTTGGGGCCAAATGCAGCTTCCAGATACAGAGAAGCGGCCCAGGTGAATGTGACGAGCAAGTGCTTGGAGATATTAATGTCTTCATTGGAAACACTTACTTGAAAAATAAATTTAATCCGCACATTGTAAACATGATCGCCAAATAGCCTACAACACCAAATGCATAGCTGAGTTTGTAGATGAGAAGAAACCATTTGTAGACCAATCTGTGGAGTGAAAAATGGGGAGAAGCACAGAAAGTGATATATTAGAAAATACTTTATCTTTTTCAAGCATTGTTAGTCAGTTTTTAGTTTCTAAAATTCTACTTCTGCCGTATAAGAACCTGAGTATATTATATCAGCTGAACTGAATAATAATCTAGAGTCTGAGTATACTATGAACAAGCAATGTATAAATAGTCATGCACACAGGATTCTATGCACATGCACATGTCAATTCATTGTGATTTATTTATGTTCCTCATGTAAAAACTGCCTTCAGGAATGGTTAGTCTCTATGGGGCTCCGCCTACTTTCCTCTCCTCCTTTCCTCACTTGGCCCTCGGGTTCGCTTAGAGTGGTTTTGGTAGGAGCACCCTGGAGGCAAGTAAAAGATGGAAGTCAAGAAGAGAGACAGACCTCCTCCTCCAGGCGTTTCTCTTCCCTCCTCCTCCTGCTGCTCCCAGCCCCAGGGCAGCGCTCATCACCCCTCCACCACCAGCTCTCCGCTCGAACAGCCCCTCCCCAGCCCTGGAACAAGAGAGCTTCAGACTTGGCTTTTCTGCTCCGTGGATGGGTCTTTTGTGAGTCCCACACTCGCCTCTTCCCACAGGGTCCGAGTGGAGGAGTGAGACGACTGGGGGTGGAGGGCAAGAGTGGACATGATCTAGAAGGAGCCATGCATTGTGTTTGTTTCCCTCGCTCCAGGCAGTAAAAGCCCTTAGACAAACTGCAGAGGGGCCTCGGGATGCTCCATGCCTGAGAGAATGTGGGAAGAGGCTACCAGGGCTCCACCTACTGGAACAAGAAGCAGTGGGGCTGGAGGGCCCTCCTTGGTACCCAGAGAAGATAAGGGGGTGCTGAGATGTTACACACAGGGGTGAATATGGCAGGAGGCCCTGTTAGTCCTCAGCCCTTATTTACCCTCCCCATCCTCTTGAACCCTCTCTCCTGCATTTCAGCCCAAACTTCATTCAGAGTTTCTCTTCAGAGACTTGACTCTACCCTTTCACCTCTGACCCCTGGAGCCCTGTCCCCAATTCTCTCACCTTCCCTGACCTCCTCCCTGTTGGAGGCATTGCACCAAATACTTAAGCCCTTTGGTATTACTGGTGCAATGTTTCAGTGTTATTTTATTTATTTATCAAAATTTTTAATTGAAGTGCAGTTGACTTATAATATTATATTAGTTTTGGGTGTACAATATAGTGATTTGAGATTTTTATAAATTAAGAAATTATCACCACTATAAGTCTAGTCACCATCTATCACTATACAAAGTTTTTACAATATCGATTATATAGGCAGACCTTGTTTTATTGCAATTGGCTTGACTGCACATCACAGATACTGTGTTTTTTACAAATTGAAGGTTTGTGACAACCCTGCATTGAACAAGTCTAGAGGCGCCATTTTCCCCAGCAGTATTGCTCACATCATGTCTCTGTGTCACATTTTGGTCTTTCTCATGATATTTCAAACTTTTTCATTATTATTACACTTTTTACGGTGACCTGTGATCAGTGATCTTTGATGTTTTGATTGTAATATTTTTGGGGCGCCACAAACCATGTCCATGTAAGACAGCAAACTTAACCCATAAATGCTGGGTGTGTTCTGACTGCTCCTGACCAGACCGGCCATTCCCCCATCTCTAGCCCCTTCTCCTCCAGCGTCTCTATTCCCTGAGACACAGTAATACTGAAATTAGGTCGACTAATAACTCTACAAGTGTTCAAGTGAGAGGAAGAGTCACATGGCTCTCACTAGAAATCAGAAACTAGAAATGATGAAGCTTGGTGAGAAAGGTATGCTGAAATCTGAGACAGGCTAGAAGCTACGCCTCGTGTGTCAAACAGTGAGCCACGCTGTGAATGCAAATGAAAAGAGCTAGAAAGAAATGAAAAGTGCCGCTCCAGTGAACACACCAAGGAAAGTGAAACAGCCTTATTGCTGATGTGGAGGAAGTTTGAGTGGTCTGGATAGAGGATCAAACCAGCCACAACATTCTCTTAAGCCAAAGCCTAATTCAGGGCAAGACCCTAACTGTCTTTGATTCTGTGAAGGCTGAGAGAGGTGAGGAAGCTGCAGAAGAAAAGTTTGAAGTTAGCAGAGGTTGATTCATGAGGTTTAAGGAAAGACACTGTTTCCACAAAAGTACAAGGTGAAGCAGCAAGTGCTAATGTAGAAGCTGCAGCCAAGTTATCCAGAAGATCTAGCTCAGATCACTCACGAAGATAGCCGCACTGAATAGCAGATTTTTAGTATAGACAAAACAGCCTTCTATTGGAAGATGCCATCTAAGGCTTTCATAGCTAGAGAGGAGAAGTCAATGCCTCGCTTCAAAGCTTCAAAGGACAGACTGACTCTCTTGTTAGGGGCTATTGCAGCTGGTGACTTTATGTTGAAGCCAATGTTCATTTACCATCCTGAAAATTCTAGGGTCCTGAAGAATTATGCTCAGTCTATTCTGCTTCTGCTCAATAAATGGAACAACAGACTGGATTAGAGCACATCGATTGACAACAGGGTTTACTGAATACTTTAAGCTCACTGTTGAGAATTACTACTCACAAAAAGAGACTCCTTTCAAAATATTACTGCTCATTGACAATGCACCTGATCACCCAAGAGCTCTGATGCAGATGGACGAGATGAATGTTTTTATGCCTACTAACACAACATCCATTCTGCAGCTCATGGA